AAATGGTCATGTTATTGCATGTAACTATCTAGCAGTACTATATGGGCCCACCTGACACGTCTATCATACCAGACCACTCACCAGTGTCACAATGCACACACCAAGACCACTTCACTGTTCTTCACGTAGGCCTGTGTAGAAATAGTACGAAAAAAAAGCTGTCACGCGATATATCAGACCACAACCTCGTACCGTAGTAATCGGATCGTGTTGCGAATGAAGGCTATTGTTCAACGCGAAGAGTCCTGTAGAATTTGTACTGGTTAAAAGCTATCAACCTTTATTCGAACCTGATCTAGTGAACTACGATTTCATGTACAGGAGGTACGAACCGTCTTAAATTCTATTGGTGCAGCAAAATTATCTCCAGTCGAAAATTCTCATTAACCGTCGCATCTGGGAACGACATCTAATTATGCGGCTAAGAATCAAAGAAATAGTGACCGTTCCACCGGCGGACGCGACGTTAGAAAAATGTGTCACCTCAAAATATACAGTATATAAGGTCCTGAATAATATAATATTGACGCCGGGTGGTTAGAGAATTTTAGATGAACCGTGGTGTCGATGAAAAGATTGAAAAATGCTGATACGCTACCCGGGTATCCGCTTTCAATGCCTTTTTTCATCATCAATACCCTCACAGATTAAATCAATATATGAATACCCACGTCGAAGTCTTGGGTCCCTTGCTCCGTCGTCCAACAATAGTATTATAAGGTAAATTAAGAAACTCAGCCTTTTGCTGTGTTTCTTCGACAAGCATCAAAATCAAAGACCAAGATTACTCTACGACGGGGGGCCAAAGCGGTAGTCGAGGCCTCTCAGAAGACTCAGCGAAGAACACTTCTTTCAACAAATTTTTGCAGTGGACAAGTAAAATGTCAACCTTTACTTGTGGTTCAGCGGAGCAGTTAAGTAACATCAATCAATGTACAAGTGTGTACCCGCAATCCATGGCGAAACCTCAACCCGAAAAGCCGCCGAGGAAGAAAAATGTTGAAAAATATGGCAACAACAACTCTTCTTCCAGCTCCCATGTCTCTTCAGAAAGCAACAAGTTACGAGGACATGATGTCTCTATCTACCCCTCAAAATCATCCAAAAATCCAAGCCGTGATGGAAGCCGGGATGAGTACGATCATGACCACCATACGTTTGCAACTGCTACAACGGCATCTGCTACAATTTCATTTTCGAATTCTGAAGCACATTCGATTGCGTCAGAAGCAGGTATGGAAGTTGTCATGTCATCAAATCAAAGCGAAATGGAACGTGCAAGTCCTGTAGAAGAATATAAAACGCATTCTTTTCCAGCTGGCAAGCACACTTTTACAGTAGACAAGCGATATTCAATGATTCGTGTCGTTGGATCTGGAGCATACGGAGTTGTGATTTCTGCAAAAGATTCTAAAAACACTGACGGCGAAAATGTGGCTATCAAAATGGTTCCCAAAGCATTCAATGACGAGATCGATGCAAAGAGGATCCTCCGAGAGATTAAACTTTTGAATCATTTCCAACACGAGAACATTATCAGTCTTGTGGACATGATGCCTCCGACAGCAAGGTATCTCGAAGATTTCCATGATGTCTACATGGTTACAGATTTGATGGAAACAGACCTCCATCGCATCATCTATTCCAAGCAGAAATTATCCATCGACCACGCGCAATATTTTATCTACCAAGTTCTAAGGGGGTTGAAATATATTCACTCAGCAGACGTGATCCATCGTGATTTAAAACCATCAAACTTACTGGTGAATTCAAACTGTGATTTGAAGATTTGTGACTTCGGTCTGGCTCGAGGTATAAGAGAGAAAAACACAGAAGGACAAGGAGGCACAATGCTGCTGACGGAATACGTTGTCACTCGATGGTATCGAGCCCCTGAAATTATGTTGGCATGTCACGAATACTCCAAAGCAATTGACTTGTGGAGTGTCGGTTGCATATTTGCTGAGCTTATTCAAAGAAAGCCGTACTTTCCTGGAGAAGATTACATTGATCAGGTAAGAGATGACGGTGATTTGTAAAATTTATCACTTTGTACTTAAGAAAATTCTATTTTGCTCACTTTTGATTCTCTTTTCAGTTAACAATTATTTGCGAAAAGCTTGGAAAATTGCAAGACAAAGATCTTGATTTCGTTACCTCGGAGAAAGCAAAGAGGTTCATGAGAAAGCTGCCCATGAAAACCCCAGCCCCCTTGCGAGAGCAATTCCCAAGTGCACCTGCAGATGCTCTTGATTTACTTAGGAAGTTGCTTCAGATTCATCCAACTCGGCGCATCGACGTAGAAGATGCCCTCTCTCATTCATTTCTCTCGCAGCTGCACAACGAAGAGGACGAGCCGGTTGCAGAGGAAAGTTTTGACTATTCCTTCGAAAATGAAAAACTTCACAGACTACGGCTCCAAGAATTGATTTGGAGAGAAGCAGGGCATTTTCGCCCATCTTGTCTCCCGGTTGCACCGAGCAGAAATGGAGGGTCAACCCGTTCAAATCGAAGGAGGGATCCTTAATGATCAATTGACGAAATAGGGAGGCTTGCACCAATTCGACACCATATTGCTTGGTGGCTTAGAGAACCCGATGAATACCCTTTGCGCCCCACATACATACAAAATAAAATAGTTCATATTCTTGTTTTCCCGTAAAGGTAGCGTCGTGTGTTAAACGAATTTAGTCCTATCAGGACTTCATACACAAATTTAGAATTCGCAGAGAAAAGTAGCAAGAAAGCTTTTCTATTCAAACCTTGGCAAGTACAGGGTTCACCAGCTTATTTGCAGTCCCGTCTTGCTTGTTTGAATCCGCTTTGTTCAACTCTGTTTTCGCGGAATATTGGCTGTCTTCGGATCTAGATTCTGTAGGTATCATCCTTGCCATCGTGTTTTTGCGGAAAGTATTCAGAGAACCCGCAAATTTGTTTGATTTTCCCGAAGTGTTATCATTGCGTTTCATATTCTGTCCGATGTTGAGGCTACCAAACCTTGAGAAAGGGCTGGGTTTCTTCAGCCCCTTTCTTGGAGATGGCACGGCATCCGGCGTTTTCTYGAGATACGAATCAGAGGATTTTTCTTTTAATTCGCTTTCCGACGAACYTTGTGAAAACGAAGTAGTGCGATGAGTATCAATGTTGCCCGACTCAAACGATTCAGGATCGAATGAGTCTTGTGACATCTCTCTCGAGGAATTACCCCTTTTTCCACCGAAAAATCTTTTCATTGCATTCGTCGTATTGCCGCCCTTCTGATTCGCTTGCTCATCTGAAATACCATTTGCAAATGTTTCTAATCGTGAGCTATTGATTGTTAGAGCAGTCATGCTAGAATCGAAAAGATTTTGAAGAGCACGCTGTGCCTTGTCACGACCTGACATACTGTGGAGTTTTTCGAAGCGACCAAAAAGTGAAACTTCTGGATTGTAGTCGGTTAGTACGTTCTTCGCAGTCAAATGAATTTTTGGACCTTCTCGMCAAAGATAGGCATGAGCAGCTGCAAAACCACCCTCCATAAGACTAACAAAGGGAAAACCTTTTGAAAGAAAGAAACGAGCACATGCATCGTTGCGTTCTTCGTCTTCTTTGATCAGCTCAACCAATGCATTTGTAACCTTGTGACCATAAAGCTCTGGTAATGAAGAATAGCCCTCACCCATTATGCAAATATGGACCGATCCACGCAAAGATTCAAACATAGATTCTTGCTCCTTCATTGTTTGAAAATCTGATAATTTCTCGGGGCTCAAACTTACTGAGGTTGGTAGTCTGCCTTGCTCGCGAGCTGCAGCTTCAGGACGGCTATCTACCAAGTAGAATTTCAATGGGTTTCTTTCGTTCCAATCGTTAAACACTTTTGAACTTTTTTTCAACTTCGAAAGCTTTGTTCGATTTCTTTCCTTGCTCCAGCAAATCACAGGCAAAATCTCACTTGGACCAACCTCTACAACAGCTTTTTGAACTCTCGGTAATTCGGAGCTTGAATTCTGGGTGATATTGCTTTTCGAGTTCGTCCGACGGTGACCGAAACCCGTATTCATTGAAGCAAATATCTTGCTGTTGCTCTTGTTGATCATGATTGGCTTTGGTTTCAGTGCAGGGTTAAACCCAACACCGTATTTCATTTTCAATTTAGCATCCAAGACATCGTATCGACCGTCGTATGATACCATAATCTTGTCGATGTTATTCTCTTTTCCGGGATTGAATTGACGATAAAATGCCACCAACCGAGCACGGGTCAGACGCTTTCGCGCCTCGTCTGCCTTTCGCTCTTGTTCCACCTCCCTGGCTTCCTGCAAGGCCTTTGCTTCTGCCTCTTGTTGAAGCCGAAAGCGTTTTTCTTTAGCCTTTTGTCTAGCAACTAATGCATCGGTAACAGCCTCGTCCTCCAAAACCTTCAATTTTTTTATTACAGCGACGGGAGTTTCTTCCCACAACGAAAAGGCCTTATCACTCCACTCTTGAACGAACTTTGCTGCTTGCTGGTCATCCTTCTCTTCTTCCGAGTAGTTTCCTGAGACAGGATCTGCAATATCGATGTCGAAACTCGATGAAAAGTTTGTGACGCGATGAAATTCCTTTTTAAGGTCTTCATCGGTCAAGAGAAGCAGACGCTCTGCGTGTAAATCGAGCATGGAAATAACCAAAAAGAATCGAAGAGAGCTATTATTGCTGGTCAATACCAGATCCCAAAGATGTAGCAGCCAGCGCATATCCATGAATGAGCCGTTTTCTCCCGCAAGGTGAGTGGCCAACCAAGATTGGGGCAGATGCCCAGAGGGAGGAGACTTATACCAGTCGGGTAGGTACTTGTCGAGGTGAAGCACTAGCAACGGCAAATGGTAGCACGCAAGAAGATAAAGCTGCTGGTGGAGGATTGCGGTCGCTTCCTGGCGTTCCTTTGTTGTGAGCGCCAATATCGGCATGAACGAAGGAATGATTTGGCTCAGCATCACACACGCCACGGGTGGCGGAGCACCAGACGACAAAATCGAACACAAGACGGGAGGCAACAATGAATCTTTCCAAAAAGAGTCGACTGGATCCGAATTGCTTTGGATTTCGGACTGACTGCTAGAATCGAAATGGTTGACCAGAATGGCGAGGAGAGCCTTTCGATGGGGTTCCGGATCTCCGTCTTTGACTACAGAAACAATTCGTTCCGATAAGAGGATGGACTGCTCTTCCAGCCATTTTCTTCGTTGYTCTCGTCGAGAAAGCTCTGGTGTATCCGATGTGCACTTTGTTGAGTCTGCTGGTTCTTGGTTCTTTTTTGGGCTCCCGTTCTGCTCGTTGCTCTTCGTAGCGTCATCCTCGAGGTTTCGGCTCTCCTTTTGGGTTGTAGCGTCGGTTGGACAACTGTCCTTTTCACCCGCGCCGGAACCCTTCCAAAACTTCTGCTCCCACTTCTGAAAAGAATCGGCAAGACTCGATCGAAGCGTTTCTTCGAGCGTCTTGTCGCAAACCACCTTGGCCCAGAGATGGGGGCGGACCGCTCTGTCTACGACGAATTTTTCCTTTTCTAGCAGCCGCCGTATTTGCGCCTTGGAAGAATCGCGACACCTAACCGCCTGCTCCAGAGAATCGTACTCCCTAGGTTGGGAACTGGGTGACGGGAMTGTCTTCGCTGGCTTCGAACCAAGGGAATCCTGCGGGCGTGGGGGCTGAACGAACACGAGTTCTTCTTCTTGGCGTTGCAGCAGTTTGCTCCCCTTCTCGTCGTCGTCGTCGAGCCAGTCCAAAATATCCTGTAAATCCGAGACGCCACTGGTTGTGGAWTSTTTCCTGCTCTGTTCGTTGTTCCCCGCGTTGTTTTCTGCCACCGCCATTCCCGCAAAGCCCCCCAGCAACGACAAATCGTTTTTCTGGGCATTCTCCAAGAGTTCTATAAAGGAATCGTTCGAGGCATGACTGTCGTTGTCACCGCCGAAATCGCAGTCTTCCGTCGGAACACTTAGGCCTGGCTTCGTGACGGCAGCATGTTTTCGATTCTTTTGGTTGGGTGGTTTGATTGGACTTTCGTTGTAGGGGGGCGGTGGCTCGAGGGTTGCCGTTGTATCGGCGGCTCCGAAGGAAAAAAGATTTGCGATCTCATCATCGTCGTCGTCGTAATCATAATCGACGGCTGAGTCGCCTATAGAGTCCATTTCATGTGTATTGTCTCTTTTCCTTTGAAATTTCGTTTCAATCTCCTTTGGATTCCACTACCGATATGCTATATGGTTCTTCAAATATGGTTCTTCAAATGCAAACAGCCTATTCATCGACCGAAGAAGAAACCTTGTGGTTTGTGGTTTCAATAATATTTAAGCACTATCCGTACGTACGATAAGTAAGGACACTTGCTACCAGATCGTGCAATAGTAAGAGTAAAATAACAACATGGAAGTCATTCTCATATCATCGTATCACGATATCACGATTAGAAATAGATTAGAAATAGATACCTCTCCTTTCCAACTCCTCTCGGCTATCTTTTCCATCAAGCAAAAAGCAGCGCCCAATCACAACAAGGCCCAGAACCGAGATTCTGAGGTTTCRTTGTCTGCACTCTGCGACTTCGGATTCAACCCAACCTCGCTTCGACAATGACAAAAGGGCACAGTTATGTAGGCGTCTCTGCGGCCTTGCAAATTCCATTTATTCTACTCGTTCTCACGGCATTCGTGACAATACTCTTGTATCTTGTCCTGGTCCCCGAACCGAACGAGTACGGCCCGGGTGGTGGAATGATCAAAGGCGGCAACGTAAAGTTTCCGCACGGGGGACACCCCCATATCTATCGAGAAAAACTCCACAAAGTCGAAGAAGGACTCAAGTCCACGGTGCAGCACAAGAGGGAACAACTTGCTAAGGCTCTCCATTCATTGTCGGCTTCGTCCAGTAAGTTGCCAGGTAGATTAAGGATATTGCGAGAYAAGCACCAAATCGTAGGGGAACGGCTATCAGACATTACGAAAGGAAAGGAAACGGTCGAAGAAATACTGCTTGGCGCGGGGATCGGCCTGCAGGCCATTGAAAATATTGCGAGCAATGAGCCTCCTATGAAATTAGACGAAATCATAGGCTATCTCGATCAATGGATCCATGGCCTCCATCGGGTAATGTGGCAGGTGCGAAAAGAAGATTTTCCGGTAATTTGGGATGCTTATCACGACTACGCCGTCAAGACGTTGTACATTTGGGACAGGAAGTACCTTTCTAGGATGCCTCCGCGTCGAGACGACGAGAGTATATTTTTGTCTATAGCGACATACCGTGACGCGAATTGTGCTAATACATTAAAGTGGGCGTACGAAAAGGCAAAAAATCCAGAAAAGCTGTTCGTTGGATTGGTTCAACAGAATTGCCACAAAAATTGTATAAGTGGGGTACTAGAGGGGGGGGAGACAAACTCTGTAGGCCCAGATTTGGACTGCTACAAGAGCTTTTGTGACGGAGAAKGGAAGGAACGATGCGACAATGGGCAGGTGAGGGTTTTGAACATCGACGAATCGGAATCTCTGGGTCCATACGCAGCCCGTTTCTTTGGGAGCAAACTATGGTTCGGAGAACAATGGTACATGCAAATAGATGCTCACATGACGTTCGCGCAAGACTGGGACGCCATCAGCGTTGAAATGCTAAAACGATCGCCTTCCAAAAAGCCAGTAATTACCCACTATCCACCAGCCGACACCGAGAATTTAGAGGAATTGGTAGGTGAACCTACGCCTAGGATGTGTACTGGGTTCTTTGCGGTCAGTGATGTTGAGTCTCAGATCATTCGAATTGACGGGTCAGAAGTAAGTTATATGAGAGCCGCAAACATCGATATTTGGTGAGGCAGCAAACCTTTGATACTCGTACACGACTAACTTTCGATTCATTTGTAAACGATCAAAATAGCTATTTGACTCCAAATACAATAAAATACCAAGATTCGCCCCATTCACAGCAGCAGGTTATTTTGTTGCGCACTCAGATTTTTTGAGGGAAGGTTAGTACTAATTGCATCAACAACATCGTAGTTGCGACGATCTGTGAGAGAAGAACAATCTCGTTGACAAAAGGACGACTGCGTTTTATATAAAGCTAACTAGTTTCGTGTTTATTTTGTTTTTCAGTTCCTTTTGATCCATTCCTTCCGTGGATATTTATGGGAGAAGAGATCATAATGTCGACACGATTGTGGACAGCTGGATATGATATATTTTCGCCCTCACAAGCTGTTGTTGGACATATGTATGGCAGGCAACACCAGCCAAAGTTTTGGGAAACGGTATGTCTTGTGTTTTGTTTCGTAGACGATCATTGTGTTTGAAAGCGAGAACTTTTCAGCACACCGGTATACTAAACCTTTTTCTTTGATTTTATTCACCAGGTTGGGCGTGACTTTTCGCCAGGTACACATACAMCGTTGCAAATGATGGTTCTGGAGCGTGTTAAATACCAATTGGGATATCCCGAAGCCGCGAAGGACATGATTACTTCTAAAAACCTGCTGACAGCAGTTGAGCAATATTCTATGGGAACGGAAAGGCCTCTATCACAGTATCTAGAACTAGTGGGCTTGGATATGACTCAAAAAGAAATCACCTCTATGGATTGGTGTGAAGAAGGRATGGTACGTGCCACGAAAAGTTTTCTTGCTTTGCGCCTAGTTGGTGATTCTCGGACAGTAGTACCAGACGAAAACATAGTTTTCACTTTCTCACCCTTCGAACTTCTCCTTCATCGCTTCTTGTTGCCTCGTCAGCCCCCTCCCGGTTTCGAAGAATTCAATGACCTCTACAAATAATATTTTACTAGTGGCATTTTTGTCAGTGTTGGAAAAGTTGTGTATCAGCAGGTGTACTACTACTCCGTTGTACTGCTGTATTCTACCCATAACACCTTTTTGCTTGAGCTATAAACACCACAAAAATGCATTACACTTGCCTTAGTTCTGGTCAGGGGTCATAAAGTAAGGAGGGGTGCACAATGCGTCAAAATCTTAGATTCCATCTTTGGCAGAAATGACACAAATTTCACCCCTGGTTTAAAAAAATCTCATTTTTAACACTACTAAAAACTATTTTACATCTTGGGAAATTCAGAATCCTCATGAAAAACTGCTGGTATAAACCATAGTGAAAAATTGTCACTTCATACTATGGTATCTTTGATAAAGTTATGGACTACTTGTACTTTTGTTGGATAGTTTTAGTAGTGTTGTTCAGTAAAAATGAGAGTTAGAAAAAAACCTTTGATGAGTTTTGCAAAAACTGCTGCAATAGATTATCWTGTTGCACACCCTCCTGAATTAATGACCCCTAGTTCTGGAGCCCCAGGAAATAGAGGAACTATGGAGCACATGAGGGCATAAAGAATAACTGATGCACACCAAAATGCCATTGCCAAGAAGTTTGATTGGCTGATTCCATTTAACAGATGTCATGATGAATAGAACATAATAAAACGGAAATGGAATTCATGGTTTATTCTCAATCTGTTCTTGACGATGAGCTTTCAAGGTTTAGCAAAAGCAGCAGCAAACAGCAAGACCTTGCAGCAAAACAACCAGCAACATGAGCTTATTACTACTAGTATTAGCAAATAAGCTTGCTCACAAGCTCTTGTTGATTGTATTTGACTTCTGCTGGAGGCTTCTTGTTGTTCCTATTGAGGGAGCCTGCTATTCTTGGCATGATTTCAACATTATGAGTGCTGTTCTTTGTTCCTGCTAATTCTGTGCTGTTGCAGTTACTGGTGCTACTAACATGTTGTTCTTGTTGCTGATCTTGCTGATATTAAGCATTCAGTGCTGTGAGGGTCTTTGCTGCTTCTTGCTGCTGCTAGAAATATTATGCCTACTAAAAGGCGTGTGGAACAGTAGGAGATTCACTACATTTTCTATGTTATCTCAATTTATTCACAATYGATTCCAGTTCTATTCTCAGCCAATGCAAGGAAAATATAATAGATCCAGAATAGAATGCATGGGAATAGATGGTGAATAAATAGAGAATAAACCGAGAATTGAAGTGGCTAGTAGCTCCAAAAAATGAGGTTTCACCAGTTCACCAATTTCAACCAGCTTGAGTTTTTTTTTGGGTTCATGGCAGCCATTAGATTCTATATATGCTAGATGCATACACGATAATTCCTCCACTTCCTACAGCTCCTCGTAGTAGTAGTACTACTACTACTACTACTATGCGTAAAATAACAATTGAAACTACGTTAATTGGTAGGGCATTGGGAAGGTTAATTTAACATTCCAAATCTTAGCAGCATAGGCTGTGTAGAAATGAATTCTGCAGTTTTTGCTTCAATTTAACATCCTGAATA